CCCCCCCCATTACAGACCATAGCAACTCCACAAAAAAAAGTAAAAATTTTTTTAATGCAATAGTAGAAAAAAAATCAGTGTAAAAAATGAGAAGAAATTTTGACTACTTTGTAGACACCTGCAAGGTGGTCCCGGGACCGGGACCAACTTCAAAAGGTTGGTCCCGGTAGTTTTGTGTTACTAAGAACTAGACTAGACTGCATTTTGATATTTATTATTTTTTTAAGAACAGAGATCTAAAGAAAAAGAGCAACTTTTTTACAATATCGATAAAAATTCCTCAGTGATTTTAATTTTGATTTTATGAATCGGAATTTTTCAATAACTTATCTAATTTTTTTGGACTATCTGAATCATAATATACATAAATTTGATTCGATAACAGTTCAGCTATTGTTTTATTTATCGTCTCAATAGACAATGAATGGATATAAGCCGTCCGCTGCTTTTTTGTCAATGACAATGACACTTATATACAAATATTCAGTCAAATAAACATTCAACTAAACAAACAAAACATTCAAACAAATAAGTATTTAGTTAAATAAACAAACACGCAATCATATAAGTATTTTTTTCAAAATTCAATATGGCAACATCGATCATATACAACAAACAACAAATTCTGGAAATGATCAAAAATAAAAATCCAGCTGTTTCATTTGTTAAACCAAAACATGCAAAAAGTTTAAAATGGGATAATTATTTACAAGTTTTTATTAATAATCATGCTCAACATTTTATATCTTGTTTAAAATGTCATTGTATATTAGCATGGAAGCCAAATGATGGTACGAATGTTATGGACAAACATAATAAAGCGTGTAGACAACAACAATTTTCATCATCATCACAATCATCAATAGATTCATTTTATCCAAAAAATATCAATGTTTCGAAAACATTAATTAATTCAACAAAACGAAAAATAATTCATTCTTTAGCTGAATGTTGTGCTTTAGATAGTTTACCTTTTACTCTAATTTGTGGTGGTGGATTTAAAGAATTAATTGAAGTTTTAATTAAAACTGGCCATCAATTGGGTTCAGCTATTTCAATTGATGATTTAATTCCTAATTCAACAACGGTAAATTGAAATTGTTTCTTTCATTTGTTGTTGCAGATTTTTAATGTTATCGCTGTTTTATTTCTCTTTAGATTAGTAGAGAAATAGATAAAATCTATACTCTACGTAAAGAACAATTAATATCATATCTAGCAACAATTAATAATTTTGTGATAACAGTAGATTTTTGGACTGAACAAAAGACTAAAGTACATTATGGTGGCGTTACATTACATACATATTCAGAACAACATGGTCTTTTGGTATTTGTCCTTGCATGTAAGCCTTATGATTTAGCTACACAATCAGCTGATAATATTCGATTATTTACTGAATCAATTCTTAAATCATATGGTTTAACACTGGATCGAATCAAATATGTTGTTAGTGATAACGAAAACAAGATGCGAGCATCTTTTCGTGACGATGTTATTCGTATTGGTTGTGCTGCTCATTTTATAAATAAAATCCTCGAACATTCATTATGTAATTCAAATATTGATTGTGACGATATTCAGCAATTATTTAAAGATATACATGATATTGTATAGCCCGTCCAAAAAGTCCGTGCGTGTGACTGTTTTTTAAATAACTCGAGAACGCAAACAGCTAGAGACCTGTAGCTTTCACCAGTCGAAAGAGGAGGAGTTAGGGCGTCTTTTTCTCTGATAATGTATCAGACGAAATTCTTTTAAAACTGATCATTTTTTAAAAGTATAGAAGAGAATGCATA